GATTATCCCAGTTATGTCACGGCATGTCAGCCTCAAAAGCGAGGAAAGTCCAAACTGATGAATGTCTCAGAGATTTACCCCTTTGGCAATACCCACGACCACGTGTATGGCGCTGAGAAACGATGACATATCAACTAGATTCGAACAGATTCATCGGTTTCCAGCATGTCCAAGTTACACAGGTCAGCATAGCACCTTAGACGCCATTGGACAAACCGTGCCCCCAAAGCGAAAGGTCCTTCAGGCAACGCGAAGAAAAGACACGAACGGTCTTCACGTATACTACATGAGGTGACTGATATCTAGTTATAATAATATTTGCACTTATACTGCGCCAAATTCCAGGCATAGAGTGCTTGCTCATGGCGTTACAAACAACATGAAGTCACTGCTAAAAGTCATTGGCGGTGTTTTTCTTGGGTGCTCAATAGTTATTGAAAGTCCTAAAGAGATAGGTTTTGAGGTCGCTCTTAAAAATGTCAAGGGATTCTGCCTCCTTGATCTGAAGAGGGTTCCATAAAGTGGCAGCCAAGTAAGCAAAGGATCTACGCCAAAACGTTTCAGATTGTACTTTGGTACGTCAAGTAGATGATGGTCGGCAGATCGAAGTGATCTCAATAGTACATATTTGTGAATGAGATCATTCAAATATGGAGGAGCTGATTGATGATAGCATTTGTAAGTGTCATAATTTTGAATTGAACTCTTGCTTGTACAGCAAGCCAGTGCAGTGATATAAGGTATAATGTGTGAAGATTTCCTAGTCCTGGTGACTATACATGCAGCAGTATTTAGCACACGCTGAAGTCTGGCAAACTGTGCCTGCTAGACATTTTCGAGTAACCTGTTGCAATAATTCAATCTGGATAACACAAGTGACCGCACAAGCATATGAGCAGCAAATGTGGTGAGAAGATGTCTAACTGATCCTATGTTGCGTAAGTGGAAGTAATATGTTTTGCACAAGTTCGAAATATGGCAATCCATAGAGAGATTGCTCTCCAGAATAATGTCCAGATTTCTCACAGTTTTAGACAGTGGTATTTCAGACTGGCCAATACGCACTGTCGTCACTCCAGCCGTCAAACGTTTTGCCTGTGTTCCCGTGAGAAGAGCCTTAGTTTTGTTGTCATCCAGCGGTAACTCATGTTCTGTCAGCAAAAGATTTGATGTTATCTGTACATCGTTGTAGATCCGAGAGGGCTTCTCTAGTGCCCCGAGGTAGAAAGACTTTGATAGTGTCATCTACATAGCAGTGGTGATTGACGTCAGTAGAAGTGACAGACTTTCCTAAATCAGAAGTATAGAGTGTAAACAGTAAAGGGCCCCAAAACAGATCCTTGTGGGACCCCGTATTTCAGTGCTGTTGGTTTCGAATGATGCCAACTGTCTGTACCCGGTCTTTCAAGTATGAAATAAACCACTTGAGTGTTGTATCCTTAATACCCATGGCTTTCATTAGGATCAACGAAAGTCTCTGATGATCAATGGTATCAAAGGCGGCGGATAGATCCAATAATACTAATAATCCAACCTTTCCATTATCAACTGATGTCAAAAGGCCATTCAGAACATAAAGCAGAGTAGTTTAAGTGGAATGCTCTGGTCTGTAAGCCGACTTATATTTGTCTGACAAGTCACATTCAGCAAGATGAGACGAACGTCTGGACTTCACAGCCCGTTCCAATGCCCTGGAAAGGAACGATACGTTTGAAACGGGTCTATAATTACCCAGTTCAGAAGTATCTAAATCGTGCTTCTTGATTTGGAGTTTCGCCACCGCTTCTTTCAGAATCGACAGAACCCCACCTGCAGATAAGCACCGATTTACTATCTCATGACAGGAAGCAAAATGCCAAAATAATTGATGGTATCGGATCCAGGTCACAGGTAGTCGGTTTACTGTTTGTGGTGATATTCCGGATTTCCTCCTTTGAGAAACTACCAAAATCATCCATTGGGACTCTATTGAAGGGGGATAGAGTCTGAATCACAAATGTTTTGTGTCGATGTTGAATTATCCAAATTAGATCGAATGTTCTTTATTTTAGAGGTGATGTACTCATTAAAATCATTTGCAATATCTTCATTAATGTCAGACTGAAGAACATATTAACGGAATTCGAACACACGGTCATCGGTTTCTAGCATGTCCAAGGTTCATTGTACCTTAGGCGCGATTTGACAAACATTGCCACAACAATGAACCAGTAATTACGCCACATCGGACATATTGCTAATCGGTGTTTGATCTTTTGAGTTTTGTTCACATGATGTCGTCACTGCTTGTTAGTTATTTATAAACATCTGCTAATGATATACACAGTGTAATTGGAATCGGGCAATAGACTCAGAGGTGTTGTTCGGTAATTTAGATTTGAAAACAATGAATTTGTACATATGACCCAAAATACTATTCTCGTCCCTGTAAAATTTCAGTTATTATGTGCATTTTACAGTTTGCGGCAACAGAACCTATTGTTAAATTTGGTTACGTCTATTTAAGCGTCATATATTGTTGCAATTGTTCATGTAAAGTAAACATTGTATAAAGAATTTTGTGAATCAGGTGTAACGGAGGCATAGTTTAATCATGAGAAACTCGACAACATGCCTGAAATTGTGTATTGGTATACCTTAAATGTAAAACTTTTCGATGTTAACTCATATCAAGCTCCGGATAATTCCAAACACGAGAAGACGATTGCTCTACCCTCTTGGTCACAACTGTATTCAAAATCGATGTCGGAACAGAACATTCGTCCATCTTCATCACTCAGCTTAATCCCTTCACCACACTCATTTATTACCCACTATTTTTCAGCCTAATGGAACGTCCGAGTATATAAATAAGATTAAGGCTATACATGCTATTTCCATTTAGATACCATACCTCTGGCATCTTGTTACCTCTTCAGGCCACCGATATTCAGGTTACTTGTTCGATTCCACATTAAGGCCATAATTTGAGAAAATAGATCAGATTTCCTCTCTCATTCATTTAGTGTCCAGTGGTTATATTTAAAGTGTTGTCGTGAAGACGAGCCCTGGAGTTCTCCCCTGAGCATCAATGAAGTATAATAGGACTGATATGTAGCCTCACAACAGAAGCAGATATTGATAGCTTTTTCATAGAAATCAGCGGTGGTTGATTGCAGCTTTATTGTGTTTGATTGACCACACGGGAGCCTTGTTAAAATAACATCCAAGTTGATATTGTCCCATTTCTAAAACCAGTGCTGCACTGGCATGATCAAGAACTTAAGTAGTGTACGTTCACTTAGGAATGATCTTAGATATTTTAATGATATTGTATTAATATAGAATAAGTCAAATAAAAACACGTTAGCGTCATAACTGCCCAAAGAGATAATGTTTTCTATTCTCAACACTCAACATTCAGTATTCTGTACGCTTGTATGATATCACTTCCCCATATCTCTAACCGTTATGGTAAACAAAAGTGAAGCTTTGGGTCGGAGGTCTTGCTGTGAGTAAATATAAGCAACTATGGTTCCATGTCGCAATATTCTATCAATATCACGTCATCTTTGCACATTGTACCATGATCTTGAAAATAGTGATGTGCCCATCTTTCATTGATACATTCTGATTATCACAAGATCGTTAATTGTTGAAGCATATAGTTGTACACTAAGCAACAGTTATTTCTTTCAACATATCATCTTAATGTTACACACAGGGGTGCATGCAATGTGTTGTCTCTATAGTAGGTAAATGTAACAGTGCAAATATTCTGACAATATAATAATCATTGGAATCTACTTTATCATATCATTGTTGACATAAAAGACAAGTCAATGCATTTATGGCATGCTAGCAAAACGGTCATAATCAAGTATTTGGTTATTTAATGTCGTAAGGAACATTGCATAATCAAAGGAAGTCACATTATTCGCTGCGTTTACGCCTCCGCTTGAAAGAGTTTAACTTGCAGTTCTTCTTCCTTTGGAAATAAACGTAAATTGTAACTTTTTTTTTTTGCTACTTTGAAGATTTTGATTGCATTGAACTTTTTTTGTGTAAATTTACAATCCAGCGCACTATATTTGATATAAGGGATCTGATTCAAACATATGAGAACAGCTTTTTACAAATTTGAAATGTTTACCTCATGGAATGTATGGTAATCGCCATTAAAATATATGTTAATTTTTTTTCATAACAAGTTGATTGTAGTTGATGACTTCGGCCAGGAAAACGTCTTGTAAATTCTTACAAAAATTAAACTTGCGGTGAAAAAACAAAGAAATTTTGAGACATAAACAGATTTGATGGTTGCAAATCGAGCAGGGAGTGATTGCATCAAACGTTTTACGAAGGCCTGGACCATAAAGACAACGATCAAAGAGACATGAAAGCTAAACCTGCTTCCTTTTGATATAACATGGCGTTATTAAATCAGTTTTTACGGAACATGTGATCCAACATAATTAAATGAAACTAAATACGTTAGTGTCTTTGAACAATTTTAAGATATAGGAACATGCATAGAGTGTAAGCGATATACTGGGATATGCAACAGATACAATATCATGCGTGGTAGTTCTTCCAGGTATAACACTGAACGAGAGATGCATACAACCACATATACATGTACATAACAACGTATGGTATGGATTTACAACTTCTTTAATATTTACAACACGACGCATCTGGGCTACCTCTTGCTCCTTCATCAGGTGAGTGACATAATATGGTTATGCAAAATACACTGTATATAGAATGTACAGGAAGCCAGTGAGGTATTACTACAGTCTGAGATGTACAGAGGTTAAGGATATTAAGTGATGTGTATTGATTCAGATGTACATAGTTAAAGAGATTAAGTGGTATGTTTATTCAACGAATGTACAGAGTGTTTATACAACTAAAAGGATAGGATATACACGATAGGATTGATTGAAAGCCACTTATGAAAACAATGACGGGAAAACACACATATGAAAACACACATCAAAGGATGTACAGTGATTAAGGGGAAAACATGTACATTGAAAGCTTATTATTCTATGCACCAAGCATTCGGTAGGAAAACACCCTGATCATTTCAGGTTTGGTGCGGTGGATCCAGATGGCCTCAATCAATTTTCCCTTCAGCAATTGGCCTATCAAGCATCTGAACCACATATACATTCGTAATTCTGCTACATCAAATATATCTTGCCCATACATGTATGTTTCAATCTGTAATTGCACAAAAACATGAAATAAAACTCATTGAAATTTAATAGAAAACAGCTGACCTATTGAGCTGAAGTGAACGTGTGCTCGCGTATCTTTACCTGACCTGTATAAGACCTGCAGAATATAAGGGTATATTCAATGAGCCTACTTGTAGGCAGATTTATTCACGCGGCAGAAATGTAAGTCCTCAAAAAGGCCGCGTACGAAGTAAAATCGCGAGAACCAATCAAATCTGAACATTACTTATTTTAGATAAGTATATATCCAAGTCTGCATAACGGGACCATGAGCCAGTAAATGTGCAATAGTTGAACACGGCTAATTGTCACTAACTCTAAACTGTGAACGTATATTTGAACTATACGGGATACCACATGAATTTCCACTCGGCTAAAATTTTAACTATAAAGGATACCGAGCTGGGCGGGAACAGTATATTAATAGATCATTCTGAGCAGTATTCATGTAAAAACACAGAGTATCAGTCGAATGATGTAGAAAGGTCCAAAGCGGTGTCGGTCTTACAAACAATGTGGAACCCACGAGTATAAAAAGGGTCCTGAACCAAAACACAGAATCGGCGCGAACCGGGAAATGAACCTACCGTCCAAGGTTTCTGGAGTGCCCAAAGGACGCACCTTAGCACAGGGGATGGCGGCGCACTGGACGACATGGGAATACCTGTCCTATATTTAGTATATGACTTTGCTTGCATTCTACCAATCAGTTGTTTAAAATACAGCTGCCCAACATATATGTGATCCAAAGGGCAGTATACAACATGATTGTTAAGTAGCAATGAAAGTTTCGATGCACATACTAGTGCAGACTTGACTTTTGCTTCATGAATGAACAACCCAAACACCTTTTGTATTGAATGGAATATTTTAGGTGAAATGTTCAATCATTAGTGGTGGAAAGTTCTTTCATCTGTTGTGTCCTTCTGCTTGACAGAATAGGATTTTATAAAAGAACTGAAACTTCTACGTGAAATGCATCGTTCTAATTAACGAATCATTGGTTGGCAGTAAAGTCCCTAAGAGCAGTTTTGTGTTACTGAAGTTCCTATTATCGAAATGTCTCTGGATATGAATTGAACAGCATAGTGTATTATTGAAAATTCACTATCTATACATTTACTTCACAGAACATTACTGTGAAATGTCAAGCAATTTGTTTCACGAAATGCTACTTAATCACCAATTGCCAACGAGAAAATAAACTGATAATTAGTATTGACAAATGAAACTGTTCATATTTATGGTGTCTCTTGTTAATAAAAGTTCTAATTATCGTAGTTATCACACATCATACATGTAAATAAATGCATCATTTATCACGTTACGTCAATAACCTATTACTGTAGTATCGGTCTACTGAGCATTCATGGCAACATGCTATTATTGAAGTCGCCGTGAATCTGCCCGGATTTTGATTTAAATCTAAATGCCGATCTCAATGTTGTTAATCACCTCGAGAAATCATTTTGATAAATGATGTTTGAGTAGATTTCCTGTGTTTCAAACGAATGGTAAGAAATTTATGAGAACGATTTGAAGGATTAATTCTGAGGAAATCCTTAGCCTACTGCTCTACCTTACCCAAAACTCATAAATGCTCAAACTTAAACTCAGTCAAGAAAAGAGAACAAACATATACAGCTCATAGCTCAGACTTCACTTACAGTGATGAGAAATCCGGGACATTTCTTGATGTTTACCCCGCGAACTCACTTTATACTTCAAACCTGTTGTTCAGAGCAGTGCACGTATTTTCGCCATGGTAAAGTTGTTTCGAGAATACTTATTTTTAAATGGTTTAGGACACTACTACGACACCTGTTGTTTTATTTCGAAACTGAAATAAAGTCTGTAAATGTGATCTTCCGAATTTCAAAACCTCAATGATAATGATATGTCTTAGTTTCAATATCAAAACTGTTTTAATTAATACATGTTTTTTGTTTGGGTGATTGTTAACGGTGTGAAGACTGACGGTGATCTTGATATTATTTTAGGCTATGGACCGTCAGGCTCACACTGTGTGATATGCTTTTGAGGTTTTCAGTACATGTATGTCTTTGTACACGAATTGCTGATACACTTTCCCACATTCAAGAATTGATCAAGCAGATTTTATTCGTTCTATTTTAATTAATTGCCACACTCACGTGTAATTGTATGTGTCCCCGCATTAAAACAACACTTTTTTTACTTATTTCACATGTTCATTTCATGTTTATATTAGGCGAAAACAGCATCATCACATTACGAAGAATGGCTGAAGTTTATAACTACGACTACACCTTTAACACTTTGCTGGCATTACGTGCATGACCTCTTTTACTGTGTTTTGTAGACACAAAGCTTGGACCGTCGGGCATAATTCATTGGAATATCGCTGACTGCCGTTTTCTTGTTTTCACCTTTTTGAGTTTGTGTACTGTCGTTATGAAGTTACAAACTTAGCCTCGCACGGAGATTATTCCAAATCTCCTCAAGTTTTCTTATCGATTATACAAAGTCGCATTTATCGGCAACAATAAAAATGTTTTAGCTCATTGGGATATCTTTGCAAGTGTCAGAGAATGATTTCCTATCTATGTGACATTTATAGACTTGAAATGTCTCACTGACACCCCCAAAACTGAAAGTCATTGAGTTTACTTTTCACATCAAAAACACGTTTCTTTCACTGAATATGAAGCATGATGTGATCTATTATCCAATGCTTCCTGCTACATTCGATATTTGTTCATTGAGTCGTGGTGGTTGTGGAAATTCAAGCGCCCATTTGCCATCTCCTTGTCTTAAATGTTTCAAATAGAGACCACTGTTTAGTGTGAAATTCACAAGATGTAGGCTATACTGTGATACAAGACTAAGACTTTTACCAATGTTTTGAAACCAACGAGGTGAGTTGAGGTGAAACGTCGTACTAAGGAATATTTAGGTCATATGACGGCGTGTGTATGTGTGGCTGTTTGTACCAGCTGGCTTTATAGTGCCAGCTCACTGAGACATCATGCCGCAATTAAGCAATGCCATGAATATCCCACTTTCGCTCTGTCAGATACCATAGGAAGGACACTCGTTGCGTATACTTCGTATGTAATGAGACCTCATGTAGTATTCTCCTGAGCGACTATTTTATTTACTCAAGTCTTTAATGAGTTGCTGGTCGACTCAACTTGAGATGTGCTCGCAAGGGCAGGTGCAGACTTCGGAGTCTGTTCCAATCAGAAGGGTAATATTCCAGGGAGACTCCTTTAGTACTTTGGTTTTTTGCTTTTCTTTAAATCCTTTGAGCTTTCTGCTCAGTAGGGAATAGGGTTACCACCCCGGACCTCCTCAGCACAGATCCCCAACATCGCTTACTCACCTCCTTTAGATGGATGACATCGAGCTTCTTGCCAAGGGAGATACCAATTTGAAAGAACAGGTTCTCCTTGTCGAGTCTTGTTCTATTGATACTGACTTGACATTTGGACTCGACACATGTAATACTCTTCATTCGAAACGTGGCAAGGTAGTTAATGATGGATCGGTCACGTTACAGGGGAGGAGGAATTATTGAGCATCTTGTGGAAGATCAGGCCTACGCCTATCTTGTAATGCAAGTTCGAGACACGCTCCAGAATGCCCAGACTCAAGTAACTTCGGGCCGAGTATAAGTCTCGCTTAAAGAAAATCTGTTGCTCAGAGCTAAATGCTCGAAACAAGGTCAAAGCCACCAATACTTTTGCTGTGACAGTCCTCTCCTATTCCTTTGGAGTAGTTGATTGGACAAAACAAGACATCCAGAGTCTTGACCGCCTGACCTGAAGGATCATGTCTGATAACAGAGCCCACCACCCTCGTTCCTCTCTCAATCGTTTATACCTGCCAATCAATTCTGGAGGTCGGGGTTTGATTAATGTGGAGGCTCTTCATGATAGAATTTTATTGTGTACTTTTGCACATATTTATTTATCGGATGATCCTCTGGTGATGCATGTGAAGAATCATGATGAAAGCAAGGAATTCCACAGCTATTTTAAGCGTGCCAAGGTTGTTGGACAGAATCAGAAATTTGAGGTTGATTTTGTTGATGGCGATGTACTGCTGGACGGTACAGCGATGGGAGTAAACCAGGTGAAGTCCTTCACCAAGTCTGCCCAGAGTCGGCCATTTGTGGAGAAGCTTTCTGAGAAGCCATTGCATCGTGTGTACATGCAGTGTGTGGAACAGAATGGCAATCCCACCGACTCCTAGATGAATTCGGCTGGTCTAAAATGTGAAACTGAGGGCTTCCATTTTGCTGCTCAGGACCAGTCACTTCCCACTCGTATTCGCCAAAATGTGATTCTTAAAGAAAATATCAATATGAGAATGTCGACTATGTAATGAACTTACAGAGACTGTCCAACACCTTGTCAGTGGATGCCCTTCTTTGGCACAAACAAGCATATCTTAAACGACGTGATGGCATTGCTCGTTGCTTTTACTACCGTCTCCGCCATGTCTGTGGCTTTGACTCCGAGGGCCATCCATGGTACGACCCTGAACATGTCCAGGGCGTCATAGAAAATGATGCTTTCAAACCTCTGTGGAATAGGCCCATATACAGCCTCAAAAGATCTAGAATTCCTGCCAACAAACCTGATCTTGTCCTTTCTGATGCAGGCAATGAATGTATTTATATCATTGAATTTTCTGTCCCTTTGACAGCAATGTGATTGGCAAGATTTGATATTCTCGCTTGCATCCCAAGTACACTGTCGTCAGGCTCCCCATTGTTCTTGAGATGAGGGTGTTTCTGGTCAAATGCAGAAGGCTGCAGTGTAGTATTCTCCGGAAAAGTTCACTAGGCAGTGTTTCC